CGCCATGGTCATAGCATTAGCTCAGAAAGCGGGGTTTCAAATGCCTTGGGGCAGTGGTCCCCAACCTTTTTGGCACCAGGGACTGGTACTCCTGTGAGAATCTAATGCCTGATGATCTGGGGTGGAGCTGAGGCGGTGATGCTGGCACTGGGGAGCAGCTGCAAATACAGATGAAGTTTAGTTCCCTTGCCTGCCGCTCACCTCCTGCTGTGCGGCCCGGTTCCTAACAGGCCACAGACTGGTACTGGTCAGCGGCCTGGAGATTGGGGACCCCTGCCTTCGGGGCTAAAGTGATGACTCACCTGTTGATGTTATAAAGTTATCTATCAGTTTATAGGTCAAATCTAAGCTAAAAATTATATTACTGCAAAGCTAAGAGTCATGAACAGGCAGAAACAGTGAAAGCTGGTTTAATGTCTCCAAAACAAAGATATGAACATAAAGCACTGCATTTCTGAACATAGGACACTCACTTTGTAGTAAGCTGCTCGCCAACAGCACTATCCCAGGACGTCCCTGGCATCTTGTACTTAGGGAATGAAAATAAATCGGCAGCAATAGTTTAACCTCATGGGAAACTACTGGACTGCTCTGTGTGAAACAGAAATTTCACCCCAGTTTGTGTCTCCCCACTGAGCTCACTGAGAGAAATGTCATACGAATTCCTGAAAATAAAAAGAGCATCAGGAATGCAAGCTCCCCATACTCAGTAAGAAATCCTGTTGTCTTAAAATCCTCTTTCCCAGCTTTTAGAGGAGATCTGAGAAGTCCCAGGGTTGACTGTGTGTGAAATCTAACTTGATCCTTTCCCCCTCTGAGGAGAAAAGCATTGAAGGGGAGATAAATATCAAAAACACCTTACCTGGCGGATAGGGTGGGCTGCTTTGTCCATTGCTTCAAGCCACCTGAAAGACAGTAAAATGAGAAGTGCTCTTCTTGGGGGGGCCTCTGTCCTTCAGACAGAGCAGGCCTGAGGCTCAGAGGGATTTCACTGTTCTAAATTCCTGGTTGAAGGGCAACACGTTCTTACAAAATTGGTATTACTATGTAGCAGCATCCCTCTCCCGCCAGGCATATTTAAAATAAATTATTTTTTATTTTTTTCCTTTACTATAGTTTAATTAGCACCTAAGAGGAAACTCATGCACTTTTTATATTTAGCAAGGTATGTGAATTTGTTAACACCAGCGAGGCTGATAACAACTAGTGTCTTAACTGTAAGGCACTGGCTATTAAAATACGTAAAGACTGGTAAAGAGTCACTGTTTTGAGCCCCCTCCCCAAGTGTATTCTGGACACAGTGGCCACCTTTAGTGCACTCTTTAGAACCTCTGCTTGATAAATTGAATTTTCTTAGTCCTATCTCCTTAGCCATGTATCAGCCTATCCACCTCACCCCAGCTTGCCAATCCTTTCAGATTTTCTTTTAAACTCCATAAATTCCAATCAAACCGTACTGCTTGCTCTTCTCCCAGATGCTTGATTTATTCCCTTTGCCTTCCTCTGTTCCATTTCTTCTTTTGTATGCTTATCCTGTCCTGAACCACACTCTTCATAACTCCCTCCTCCCCATAGCCAGAGACCTCTCCATACCCTCAATTTCTATGCCACTTAAGCTTTTCCTATAGCACTTCTTAATTTCTATTTTTACATTAAAATGTTGAAATAAATGCTCTATATTCTTGGTTCAAGGCTTTTCTAAAGTCAAGAACTTGTGCTCAATCTTACTAATAGTCTGTAGAGACCTTAAAACAGTATCTGGACATAATAGCTATCCAAAGAAATATTTTGCCCATGAAGTAAAATACAATCAAGTCACTATCATCAGATTTCCCTGCTTGTCCTTTAAAGCAACATGCATTTGTTACACAATGTTCCACAAATAGGGACTGGATATTGTTTGCCTAAGAAGTTTCAGACCTAGGGCTTTCTTTAAAATTGGAGATGAGTCCAAATTCTCTTTAAGAGTTATGCCCTTGACACTAAACACTGTTGACCCCTTACCTGTTTGTCATTGTCACCCTCACCACTACTTCATCCCACCCCTCACCCTAAATTAACAGTATTTAAATGACAGTTTTCACTTGACTCACTGGATTGACCAGTGATCTCCATTCCCTCAGGGTGATACACTGAACAATGATCAAAAGTCACTGAATGCCCCGAGTCGGTAGGTTACCTTCTAGAATGCCTGCACAAGTCTACCCTCCAGCTGGGTTGAAATCTTACAAAATGTCAGCTGGAGTCATTCTCCACAAAGCAACATTGTTATCATTTATTTTGTTCACCTCACTGTAGAGTATTAAATTGTAACCCTACTACATTATTTTGAAACCTGGCACTATCCATCCAATTAGCTTAAAATATATAAATTTGATAATTCTGGGGGAAGCTAGATGTGAACCATGGCAGTGTTGAATTTTGTTTTAGAAAATGTGGAGATCTAAAATACATGAGTTAGGATAAAATGCTTCTGTTCTTTAGAAATTCTGTTAGGAAAAAACTGGGAGAATAATGAAGAACCAAACTTCTCATACCTAAGAAACTGACTATTGATTGCCGTTATGAATTTGCTATTCCTTACCCTACTTCCAGTCCCAAGAATATATAAGACTGCTGTTGAAGAAGTGTTTCCCCAGCCAAAGTGAAACTGATAAGAAAAAAAGATTAGTGAATTACCTTTTCATTTCTTGGTTTGAGGTTGCACAGAGGCAAAAAGTTCTATTTCCAGACTGAGGCACACAGTTAAACACAAATGGTTTTCCCAAACTGCTGTCAATGCCAACTTCTGCACCTTCCAATTTTATCATCTCTAGAGGCAAGCATTTTCCTTCATCCTGTAATTGACACAAGGAAGAGGTTCAGCATGGGCACTGCAACTAAGCAGACAAGGGAGAAAATGAGAGAGGAAAGGAGAATTAAAGTTATTTTGGGGGATCAATTGCTTATTCTGAAATAAAAATAAAACCCAATTGAATATTTGTAGATTATGTTCTCTATGATACATTCCATGATACTTCGAATTTCCAGCTATGATATTTTCCCACATCCCTTTGAATAGCTTCTATTAATATGCATTATATTTATGTCAACTTAGGAAGGTATCATTAATTTTTAATGCTTATTTTTCCTATAAGAAAAAGGAAATTGATATTACAAAATATGTGTGGTTGGTAGTGACATGAGATCTCTAGTTAGTGTTTATAGTTAGTATGCATTTCATGCTTATTCTGTCAGGATCTCTTATAAAAACTTTACATATATTAACTGATTTATCTTCACAAATAAATTAGTTCCTTTTATCATCTCTATTTTACAGATGAGGAAACTGCAGCATAGAATAAAGACCACTTTTCTTTAAATGACTGTAGTTTAAAATATCGTGGTATGTATATAAGACTAAACCATGACAGATATTTTGTTATTTCTATTTATTTTACTGTTATATCTCAGAACATCCTGTCTATTATTTACGTCTTTGTTAAAAACAGCTATATTGAGGTATAATTTACATACCATGAAGTCACTCACGTACATGTATAATGCAGTAATTTAAAACAAATTTATGGAGTTGTAAAACCTTTGCCTCAATGTAGTTTTAGAACTTTTCCGTCATCCTTTAAATTTTCTTTGAGTCATTTTGCATTCAATTGCTATCCTTACCCCTCCAATCACAGGCAGTCACAGATCTGTTTTCTATCTCTATAAATTTGCCATTTCTGGACAATTTATATAAGTAAAATCATATATTATATGGTCTTTTGTGACTAGCTTCTTGCACTTAGCATAATGTTTTCAAAGTTTCATTCATGCTGTAGCACTTATTACTACTTCGTTCCTTATTATTGCTGAGCTATATTCTATTATATGGATATGCCTCATTTAGTCTATCCATTCACAAGTTGATGGAGATTTTTCTTTCCAGCTTTGGTCTATTTTGAATAATGCTGCTGTGAACATTGGTGCACAGGTCTTTGTTTAGACATATGTTTTCATTTTCTTTGGTGGATTGCTAAGAGTGAAATTGCTGGGCCATATGGTAAGTTTATCTTTAACTTTATAAGAAACCACAAAACTGTTTTCCAAAGTGACTGTACCGTTTTACATTCTCATCAGCATTATGAATGTCCCAGATTCTCTACACCCTCACCTAAATTCTGTATTGCTTGTCATTTTGATAATAGCCATCCTACTGGGCATGTAGTGGTAACTGCTAGTAGTTTTAATTTGCATATTTTTCTAATGACTGATGATGTGGAACCCCATCTAGAGCAGAGATTCTTAACCAATTTTAGAAAATGACTTCTGTTGAAATGCTGATGAAAACTAGAGATCCTCTCCCCCCAAAATACATAAATGTATATGTGTGCATGTAGACACATATATGTACATGTGTATGTACTTACATATGCTAAAATGTTTCTTGCAACTCATAGGGGAGTGTATACAAAAATATTCTTTGTCTCAAAGTAACATCTCATAGTCGTATGGCACTTTATTTTTTGAAACATTTTCATGGACTCTGTCTTTTTTAATCACAATTATTCTATAAAGTAGAAAGCTACTGTTATCCCCAGTTTTTAGAAGAAAAAACCGAGTTTCAGTGGGATGTCCCAAGATTGCATAGACAGAGATAGAATGTAAGCAATGGTCTGTTGGCTTTGTCTTCCACATTACTTCTCTCACATATCTGCCTTCTTTGGCCACTGTAGTTTGAGAAACTGCTGGCTTTTAGAGTTAGCACTTGAAGGCTGCAGTATTCAATAGTTTAGAAGACAGAGTATTTCCTGAAGCCATCAGTTTTCCTGGAATAGAGACAGAGATCTGAAATTTTGATCTGTTTTAGTAAATATTAGAAAGGTAGCACATCTTCTAATAATTGTATATGGGCAATACTCTGACATTAGAAACCAAAAAAAATATGTTTTCATTTGCTTTAATAAGGATAAAGACTTTGCATGCCTATAAATAGTGACTAATTATTTATATCATTTTCCTAGGAGCATCTTAAACTAAGAAAAAAAAGATCAAAAAACAAAACAAAGCAAAAAAAGCCTGGAGAAGCATAAATAAAGCCCGGAGATAATACTCTCTTCTGCTCATTTGCTAAGAGCAAATTCTCACTGGGTCTGCTTTCCTTTGGGCCCATTACATAGATAAGGTAATATAATATATTGGTTTCTCAGAATCAGCCCTATTAGGTCACTCTGGAACTACAATGTTCTCCCACATCCTTTGCTGTTGGAGAAGGCAAAGGAGTACATTCATGGCATATGATAGACAACAAAGAATCGTACCTGAAGTCACCTATGAGGCTCTTTTGCCTCTGCTCAAGTTGTAGATGTGTGAGAAGAATGAATGATTGGTGAATGGACTAGATTAAACAACGATCTCTCATGGTCCAGATTCTGTTTTCCCTAATCTCAGCGGCTGCCTCATTATCCGTGATTATGAGCCTGCTGTGGCCCTGAAAGCAGCTGCACTAAGCACCGTGGGCACAGAGCCTGTGAAGGAGGTGTGGGTGCTCTTGCAACTATGCCTACTCTCCTTACTCTTTTCTCTCATTTCACCAGTCCGAGCACCCTTAAACTCCACTTTTGTGGAGATACAGAGGTTGGAAAAAATTCGCTGTTCAGTCTAATCTTAATGCTGCTTGGACTGTGGTTCTAAATTCCCCAAATCAAATATTTTCAAGAGATAAAAGACAACTGAAATCTTTTTTCTATCTTACAGCTATGCCCCTGGGGTTTTCAACTCTTCCTTTAAGTGAAACTCAATCTTTCAGTTTGGCAATAATTCTTAAGTGAGTTGAGTTCTGTTTGATTCCTTCCCCCTGGTTCTGCCAAAAGTCTCACTCATCATTGTTGGTACTGGAAACAATGATAATTTAAGACTCTGGTTTCCCCACCACTTTATATTCTCCTTTTCCAAGGCATGAAAAGGCTCTCGCTCCATTTTTCTGTTCCTGAGCCAAATCAGAGATCCAGCTGTTTCATGTGTGCAGGACTGATTAAAAGAGCAGGGATGCCGAAGGGATTTTCCAAGGAATTGTTCAGGGAGGTGCAGAAGCTATCTGCCGAAAGTAAAGGAACTTGGGCTATTTATGCCAGACAGCCCAGGATGATGTTGATATAGTCTGTCACGGAAATAGGATTTTATAGCAGTAATCTCAAAGGTCAGATGGCTCAGCAAAAGAAAATAGTAAACAATAATAATGACAAAAAGGCAACTCGGAGTGAATCCACTCCCCAATTAAATTATTTCTCTAAAGAAAAATACAGACAAGGACATTTGTGTCTGACTTCAACTTGGGCTCTCTGGTAAAACAAATTACCTGCAGATGCTTTTGTGTTATTGGCTTTGGTCAAAATTTTGGTTTGAACATGCTAGAAATTTTTTTTTGTAATTGTTGTTGCTAGGACTCTTTGTCTAAGAAAAGAGAAAAGGCTGGGACACTATACTAACATGTTTCATTTTATCTGAAGGCACAGTCATGAAAATCCACAAACTAAGGAGGAGGAAAAAGACATCTTTAGCCATGAAAAATAGCTAATTCTCAGTGGGGAAACCAGAGCCAAGATAAATTTAGAGGGAAAAAAAAGCATGTCCTAAAGCAACACACCACATGAAAGGGCGCATGAAATATACATCTAGAGTGCTATATTTAAAGCTAGCAGGTTGGAGCAAAATTGAAGGATGAGAGTCTCTTGGAGCCTTATTAATGATACTGAGAACTCTTTATCTCTAGGCAGCAGTACCCCATCCCCACTGGCGACAGACAACCATCACTCCTCGATAGCCATGAGATGATGGCCTCTGTACATGTCCTAGCTGATAGGATCAGGAAAGCAGCAAAGCCTGAAAGGGCAAGAAGGAGGGAAAGATACAACAGGACTTTCTCACTGTGCTGACTTTGCTAGTTTTGTCCTGTCATTAAATAGAAATCTTGACTCTAGAGACTGTGAGCCCCTCACTACACCAATCATTATTATTACAAACATACGTGTGTCTGTGCAGGCATGTACTTGTTTATTTATTGATGTTTTCTTTTTTTTCCCTTCCAGGTGGGCAAGAAAGGATGGATGAGAACAGAAAGTAAAGTGAGCATGCAAGTCAGACTCTTGTTTGTGGGTGGTACTGAATTCCCTGTCACAGCTTTGTGAATTTAACATTTCTCTTTTTGCTTTCATCAAGAAATTGAGATGACAATTTTATTGCCCCGAAAATTATAATATTCAATCTCTAGTCTGAACATACCGCTCTTTCCCAGCATTCATCACGCTACCTGGTTGCCACTGTGACATCAGCAGAGGTAACTGGCTGCAAACTTGGATTTTGTGCTTTTCTTTTCAGATAGCCCGGAGTGGAGAAACATTTTTTTCAGGAGTGATAAATACATGCTGGCAGCACAATGTTGTTTCCTGGCACCAGGGAGACTCCGAGCTCCAGGAAACACGGGAGGCTTTAGGGGCTGAAGGAGTTCATCTGCACAGACAGGCTTCCTGCTGGAAAATCGGCCAAGTGGAGAGACGCTAACGATGGGGTATCTGGGCTGCCCAGGCTCTATAGCTTTGAAGAGACACTTCTGGCCTCAGTGACATGTCTCATTTGTCACCATTTTCCTTGGCTCCTAAACTATCCCTTAGAGTACAACAACTACCAACCACCTAGTACTTGCATTACAACAGAAAGACTGTGAAGCAGTAAATCTGAGTCATAGTCATGACCTTGTTCAAAACTGTCAAAAGGTTACCAAGTTAACTATAAAATCAAGACATTCTATATCTTAAGCTCTGTAATTGAATGTTTGTCCTACGAGGTTTCCCTCTGAACTCAGTGTATTGTTGGCTTGTTGGTGGATTCTAGAGCCAGAGGAGCTGGGTTTGAATAAACACTGCACCACGTATGAGGTCACTAATGTAACCTTAACTTCTCTGTGCCTCAGTTCATTTATCTATAAAATAGGGTTGTTCTCAGGATTGAATTAAGATGTATGTAAAGTGTTCAGAACATCGTCTGGCACTTTGTATGTGATATGTACATGTTAAATTTCATTATTATGTAGAAATTTGATAAAGTGAAGAGTTAAAGCCTAGAAAATTAATTAACCAAGAAGCTTTAATATAGGTGTCAGGTTAACCTTATTTAAAGTAAGTTCCTATATCTGTCTCTTTTGTTTCCACTCCAAGCATTATAGGCTGAGTGAACAAGGGGAAAGATTTAATTTCTCAAAATCTCAGTATTCTCATTTGTAAAATGGGAGTAAACAGCTTCCTTTGGGAGGATGAGATGAGCTCATCTATGTAGCATATTTGACACATAGCTGTTCAATGAAGGTTCTCTCTTTCCCACATCTTGGGTCCACTTTCAGTTTAAGTGCAAATGTAGCATCACTACAATATCCCTAGGATTCAGGGAAGCTATGAGAAAAGCTCCTGCTCCAGAACCAGTGATGGGTATTACTGGGAGAAGGGCTGGGTTGGAGTGGGGTAGGGCTGAGATGGAGGGAGAAGGCAGGAGGAAGGGAGGCGGTGACTTCATCGTCACATCTTGGAAAGGAGTTGTGATGATCTGCGTGGTTGGCTCCCATGCCTGGATTTTTGTCTTTCAGGTGACAGAGCTCATTCGATGCTTTCTTTACCTTACTCAGAGATTCAGTACTTGCCTCTGGTTACATTTGGCCTGAGAGTCTCTCTCTACAGCCCACAGGTGGAGGCTGGCTGCTGCCGAGAGCTAGGCACTTACTACTGGCTCTCCCTCCCTCTGTGCTCACATCCTAAGAGGCTGCTTTTGGATCTTTGCCGTTCTGGGTTTTAAAGGATTTCTGTCTCCCTCCCTGCCGTCCACCGGTGCTTAGTGGGTGCATCTATATCTTCTGCCAGAGGTTGAGCTAGACCCTGAGGCCCTCCGTGGCTTTAGCCTTAGGCTGGTCTTCTGCCTGACAGCATTCCTCAGCCCCTTTTCTGGTCATGTTCTTAGATTCTTACTCGTGGTCTTTTGCTGGCCCATCTGTCCCTTTCTGACCCTCACTAGGAAGGAGATAACCTAGTTCTCTTGAAAGGGAGTGTTTTGTTCTCAGTGGATTCAGAAGTTTATCTATACACATGATGGCCTACTCAGCACCTCTGAGGAGAGTAAAAGTAGCTCTCTTTTTCTAATCTCTTTGTAGATCCCCCACTTTTTTTCCTTTTGAAAAATTGGGGTGTGTTATGGACTGAAGTTTTGTCCCCTAATTCATATGTTGAAATCCTAACACTCAATGTGACAGTATTAGGAGGAAGAGCCTATGAGAGGTGATTAGGTCATGAGGGTGGAGCCCTCATGACTGGGATTGGTGCTTTTATTAAAAAAACTCCAATTTTTTATTAAAAAATTGCCCCTTCTGCCACTTGAAGACACATTGGAAAGACAGTTGTCTATGAATGAAATCTGCCAAAGCCTTGATCTTGGACTTCACAGTCTCCAGAACTGTGAGAAATAAATGTTCGTTATTTAAGCAACCAAGTCTATGGTATTTTTGTTAAGCAACCTGAATGGACCAAGACAGGGTAATAACCTGAAAGAAAAATTCTGTTTTTCTTTGAAATATCTTACCCCACCCTTCTATTTCATTCCTACTGACATTACTTTGATCCAAGACCTTGGCGTCTCATAGCTTTATCACTCCAGCAGCCTCCAGGCTCAGCTTCTCAATACCAGTAAAATCTTGACAACATAATCTGAATCATCTGTTATCACCCACACAAGGTCTGCTTCCACTGCACTGCCCACGACAATGTGCCATTGACAATTTATTGCCTCTCAGCACCTAATTTAAACTTCATTGCCTGATTTGCAAAAATGGATCTGAGACCCTTTGGTTTCTTTTTCCTTTGCCAGCTGGCACAAAGGTAAACTTTGCCAGCACAGAGCACTGAAGAGACATTGCAGGAAAGACTCATCTTCCTGGTCTCCGTGGGTAGTTCCAAAGAAGCCTACACAGTGCTGCATTTTTCTCCACTCCTCAGCCCTCAAGATTTCCTCCAGTTCTAAGTGCTAGCAGGATGCATCTTCCTCAGGGCTTCCCAGCTCTCAATTGGGGGTGCGGTGGCATAATGGGACCCCAGACAGCGAAGCCTGCACTCTATCCCAGGTTTCTGCTCGGCACATCCTTTCCTCAGCTTTGTAGGAAACTGGCCCCCTGGCTTAAGAGGTATCCAAAAATACATTAGGTTTTTACAGAGAGAGGCCTCTGCAGTTCTCAGTTTCAGCAGCAAGCACAGTGACACCCCAGTACCCTCTATGCACCTGACTGTGCATGCCCAAGCATAAACTTTGGCTCACCTATATTGTGGACATTAGTTTTTGTGGCTGTTCCAGTGCAGACACTGTACTCTCTGGGCCTCCCACTTATAGCAGTACCCTGACACCCTTGGTACTCCTGACTCACTGCACATCTGTCCAGCAGCCTTGACTCACCTGAGCTCCAGCAGGTTGTTACTGCTTGCTCATACACTATGGCTCAGCTCTGGCCCAGGCAATCCAGCAAAATCCTCCATCATCTAGTGGCTACATCCAACCTTCTCCAATTAGTGCTTCCTTGGGTTCTCTTTCTCTCTCCCCCACCAATTTCTCTCTCTCTCTCTCTCTCTCTCTCTCTCTCTCTCTCTCTCTCTCTCTGCCTCCCTGCCTCCCTCTCTCCCTCCCTCTCCCCTGCAATCTGCTTTAAGATACCTTTTAGAGTTCTCTTTTTTTATGTTTATAATTACTTTCCTTAACATTGGTTAATAGTTCTTTATTTTAAACTTCCTCTGTTTAATTACTGTGTATGATAGTTAATTCTAAGTGTCAATTTGGCTAAGCTATGGTACCTAGATGTTTGGTCAAATACCGTTCTAGATGTTGCTATGAAGGCATTTTTCAGATGTGATTAACATTTATTTTTTTAATCTTCCCATGCATAATTTACTGAAAATAAAAAGAGTTTAAATACACCATATTTTCCATGTGTAATTTTAATTAATGTTTGCTTTTTAAAATTATAGTTTACATTCAATATTATTTTATACTAGTTTCAGGTGTACAGCATAGTGGTAAGACATTTATATAATTTACAAAGTGATCCCCTGATTAGTCTAGCACCCACTTGGCACTACCTATAGTTATTACAATATTATTGACTATATTCGTTATGCTGTACTTTACAGATGTGATCAACACTTAAATCAGTAGACTTTAAGTAAAGCAGATTACTCTCTATAATGTGGGTGTGCATCGTTTAATCAGTTGAAGGCCTTCAGAGAAAAAGATGGAGGTCTTTCAAAGGAAGAAGAATTCTGTTCCTAGACTAGCTTCAAATTCCAACTTGAAATTCAAATCTTCCCTAGGTCTCCAGCCTGCTGGACTGTCCTGTAGAATTCAGACTTGCCAGCCCTGAAAATTGTATAAGCCAATTTCTTAAAATCT